AACTTTTCCTTTCTTTTTTTATTAAATGCAATTTTTATTTTAAAATTGTGGGTTATAGTTAAGGGTTAGGTATATAAATATGCATCGTTCAGGCACCCTTGTTGATAAGGGGTGTCCCCCCGTCCCCAGACAGGTATTGACTACCATTAATCCCACCTCCCTTCCCCTCCCTGCACCCTCCATAGTTTCCTGCCACTGTCAATCCTTTTCTTAAAGTATTACGATAGATGTTCAAGGTCCACTTATGAGTGAGAACATGTGATACTCAGATCTTTGTTTCTGTGAGGGATCACTCAGTATTTTAAATTCTAGTTCCATCCAGGTTGCTGCGAAATTCATGATTTTATTCTTTTTTTTTTTAGTCTCACTCTGTCGCCCAGACTGGAGTGCAGTGGCCGCTCCTGGTCACTGCAGCCTCGACCTGCCGGGCTCCGGCGATCCTTCCGCCTCAGCCTTCGAGTAGCCGGAATTACAGGCATGCGCTACCACGCCCGGCTGATTTTTTGATTTATTGTAGAGATGAGGTCTCGCTGCCCAGGCGGGTCTCGAACCCGCGGGCTCAGGCAATCCACTCACCTCAGCCTCCCAAAGGCGCGGGATTACAGGCTGAGCCACCGAGCCCGGCTGAATTTGTTTTTCAATGACCAAAGAAATGGGAGATTCAGGATCCATGTCTATAAAGAGATAAGGTTACAGACACTGCATTCAATTCTAGCCATCCTCCCAGGGCTCCTGGGCCCTGCTCAATCGGGCCTGCAGACCTCAGAGCCCATTCCATTCAATCATGCACCAAATGTGAAGAAATTCTGAACCTCTCCCATGTGCCAGGCACCGTTCTAGACTCTGAGGATACAAAGGTAGGAGTGAAATGGGTAAGGTCTATGTCTCACCACATTTGCACGGCTTTGGCAGGGGGAGATACACTAATAAGCTAACCAGACCATTACAGTTAATTAGAACTTTGGAGGCAGGCAGAGATGGGGCAGGGATGGGTTTTAATTCTGTGGCCTTAATGGAGGTAGCCTTGGAGTTCCAACCTGGATATGACAAGGGCAGCTATCAGATTGAAAAGAGGAGCCCGGTGCTAAGGCCCTGAGGCCACCACCATCTGGTTCAGGAATGTTTGCCTAACTGCAGGCATTTGCTGCTCCACCCATCCCCAAGCCTGCAGTAACAATACCCCAGGTGCTTATGACTCTGTGGGTAGTAAAAATGTTTTTGTGCCTATTATTCTACTCACTTCTCCAATCAACATTATGATACAGGTGGGGCAGGTATTATTGTCTCCATTTCATACTTGAGGAAGCTGAGGCTTGAAGACATTTAAGGACCTCCTGGAGACAGTGCCTAATAATCAGTAACATCTGTGAAAGTTACCTATAGAAACCTAGAAGAAACTTAGCTTATTCTTTAGTCTTTTTGCCTCAGTGTAACAATTAGAAAGTGTTCAGACATTCTACTGCAAAACAAACAGCCTATCCATCTCCCTTAGGCAAATCTCCTCCAGATACAAGACCAGGACAGCCCAACCATGCATGGTTTAGCATAATAATCTCTAGAAAACTTTTGATTCCTTGTCAAAGCCAAAGTCATAAGAGTCTGTGAGTTGCAAATGTCTAACAAGTCTCTTGGAGGAATCCTCCCCGCCTAGGGTTAACCTAATCAGCCCTCTGTGAACTATGTGACACAGATATAAGCCCCACCATGGCAGCAATCATGTGACTAACCCACCCATCAGTCTGCTGTCCATCACCTGACATCAATACCTGCGTTTGCCTGCCCCTTTGTGATGACGTGGAAGCAGACCACCACCCAATCACCCTAATGATCTTCCCCCATCAAGGGGAATGGTTACAATGACTCAACCACAAGCAACCAGGGGCCACTGGCATGCTAGAGTCTGGTGTGGCCATGTGCTCTCTGAGAGCATGGGTGTCGCCATGCTTCCTGGTTTGGGTCCTCCTCCCCCACCCTGGGGAGGTGAAACTTCTCTCTAATTTACTTTTAAATAAACTTTTCTTTCTTAACCTTTTTGTGTGTCGCAATTCTTTGCATTTACTCGGATCTCTGGGTTCCCAGCGCGCACCTCCGGCTTGCCAGCCCTGGCAGTGCTGCGTACCTCCCTTTACCTCTCCACCCTCACTCAGTACCCTAACAATCTGTACCCCGGCCAGTCCCCCCATGTTGATCCAATGTAGTTTCCTCTATACCTCATACCACCAACAGAAACATCCTTTATTCTAAGATAACAGTTCTCTCACTCTAACACCCAATCCTCACTAGTCATTCTGTAGACACCAGACAACCCTAACACATCATCAGCAAACATACAGCACGCATGCCTTTATGCTGTATTCTGTGCCCATGACAGACATTGCTAATCCATCCCAGCATTCTAGGCCACCAGCGCCAAACAATCAAAGTTGGCCCTCCCCTGAAGGAAGCCTATTTATTTGGCATCCCAAACCTAATACTTCCCCTCAACTACATGATTTGGTTTTCACTTTCTACCTTGTCTTCGCTGGATCCCCTGTGCCTAGCTCAGTACCTGCTACATAGCAAGGGACCCACAAGTCTTTTCCACTGGGTAGGTAAATGGATGGTTAACCTTGAACCAGAGGTCCCAGAATACACCATGACACTGAAACAACTCCTCTGCTGTGCAAATGTCACTCTTACATAGTAGATGTGTGCATACCGGGCTCTATACATGAAGGCATATTTTTTTTCTTTCTTTCTTTCTTTTTTTTTTTGAGTCGGAGTCTCTCTCAGTCTCCCAGGTTGGAGTGCGGTGGCATGCTCATGGCCACTGCAGCCTCGAGTGCTAGGCTCAGGCAATCTGTGTGTCTCAGTCCTTCAGGTAGCTGGCACTACAGGCATGTGCCAGCATACGCAGCTAATTCTTTGATTTATTATAGAGATGAGGTCTCACCAAGTTGCCCAGGCTGGTCTCAAACCCATGGGCTCAGGCAATCTTCTCACCTTGGCTTCCCAAAGTGCTGGGATTATAGGCGTGAGACACTGCACCCGGTCTACATAGGCACATATTTGAGGGCTTCCTGAAAGTTGAGACATCCACCAAAACTATCTAAATACCACAGTAAGCAAAAAAGTGGCATACAGCAAAAACGGAGCTGGATCACAGCCCTGTGTCAGAGGGAAAAAAAAACCCTGGTCTGCAGCAGGGCACAGTAGCTCACGCCTATAATCCCAGCACTTTGGGAAGGTGTAGGTGAAAGGGTTGCCTGAGCCAGGGATTTGAGACCTGCCTGGGCAACTTGGCAAGGCCTTGTCTCTACAATATATCAAAAAATTAGCCAGGCATGGTGGTGCATGCCTGTAGTTTCAGTTTCTTGGAAGGCTGAGGTGGAAGGATCGCCTGAGCCCAGCAGGTGGAGGGTGGTGGCCGTGAGTATGCCACTGCCCTCCAGCCTGGGTGACAAAGTGAGATTCCAACTCAAATAAATAAATAAATAAAAATAGAGTCCTCTGCAATTAACGAAAGCCTCTACCTTTATAAGATTCTCTGCAGATACAACAACCAACTCAACAGTCCCCATCAGTTTGCTGAGCTCCAATGCACGGCTCAGCAACTGCCCAGAGAGCTCTAGAGAAAACCCAACCTCTCAGGGGAATGGAATGCAGATGAACGGCACAAGCCCAGTCCCCAAGGCGTGGTTACATCATCAGTACTAACTCCCAGAGTCACTTGGGAGGGTGCTTACCCTACAATTAGCTTATTAAGACAACTGCTTTGCCAAAGCCATTCTACTTAATCACCATGACCACTCTTTACCTCCCCTTTTGGCTGAGCCTATATCTACTGGTCATTCAAGCCTCAGCTCAAGCATTCCCTCTTCCAGGAAGTCTTCCTGGGTGTTTCCTCATTCTGAGTTTCCTTCTACTACAGGACGAGCCACTCTCTGTTAATGGTCTGAGCATCATGGCTGTCTCCTCTTGCCAACCATGAGCAGCAGTCCCTGAACTCAGCATGATGCCTGACTGCTATGGGAGAATGTGACCAAAATGGTCCCCCCATCAAGGAACTCAGATTACAATTTTTTTTTTTTAGTTGGAGGCTGGCTCTTGTCACCCAGGCTGGAGTGCAGTGGCATGCTCATGGTCACCACAGCCTCAACCTGCTGGGTTCAGGCAATCCTTCCACCTCAGCCTTACAAGTAGCTGGAACTACAGACACATGCCACCAGGCCCCGGTAGTTTTCTTTTGTAATTTACTGTAGAGACAAGGTCTCACCTAGTTGCCCAGGCTGGT